ATACAACTCTTCAGACTTGCTATGATGTACAAATGTCTTTCCTTGAAATGCTCTTCTGAAAATGGTAAATGCTAAAACTGATTACAGTGCTATTGAAAGTGGATGAGCAAGTTGATCTGCTGAGATGTGAAAACAAATTCTATTTTAATTTTTAATCTAAAATATTAGAAAGAATTTTGCTTCCCTATGCTTTGCTATATTTAGTAAATAAACACTAATATAAGAATTTTGCTTTACTATTAACAGTAGAACGCTCAGTTAACCAGGCAGTCATCATCTGTCACATAAAAGGTATCCTGAGGAGGAATGGCAGTGCCTCCCCTGGGGAAGAGGCTGATGGTGGCTCTGGCTCTCAGTCAGTCACTTTCCTTATCTCAGTATTTACTGTCATTTATCTGTGCTTAGCTAAACAGATTTATAAAGAATTAACTCTCACAAAACAGGAACATAAAAGATTTCTGCAAAGAATTGGACAGGCACTCCTGTTAAAATTGCAAGCAGAAGAAAAGAAAAAAAGAAAGGGACAGAGTCGACATTTCTCATACTTCTGGTACAAGCTCCTCATCATATTCACTGTGGTGTAAAAATAATGGTGATCTAGTAACATCTGACAAGGTTAGCCAAAATGATACATATAAGAATTTAGTCCTCCACCTAGAAGGGCTATTAGCAATACAAATTTCCATCTACTATAACTTGTAATTAACTTTGACCTATATGTGTATTTCCCTTGAGATTGGCCAATGATTGATTGAAACTACCACAATTAATGACAGATAAAACAGCTTTTTTTATTTTAAAATTTCTATTTTGTGGGTATTATAGAATGTATTTTATATATTAACATACACATAATTATATACTATTATAATCATGTATTAATATTAACATATAATTGTGTGTGTTCAAAAATTTTTAATGGCACAATCAAAAAACTTTAAAGCCCACTGGATTAAAAGATGGCATTTGGAGCCCAGCACGATGGCTCAAGTCTGTAACCTCAGCACTTTGGGTGGCTGAGGTGAGGGGATCGCTTGAGCCCAGGAGATCAAGACCAGCCATGGGCAACATGGCAAAATCCCATCTCTACAAAAAATACAAAAATTAGCCAGGCGTGTCGCACCTGGAGTCCCAGCTGCTCAAGAAACTGGTGAGAAGATCACTTGAGCCTGAAAGGTAGACGCTGCAGTGAACCATGATTGCACCACTGCACTCCAGCTTGGGAGACAGAGCAAGGCCTTGTTTCAAAAAATAAGAATGAAAGATGATATTAAGAAGAAATCTGATCTCATTATCTTTATTATCAAGTGATTGAAGGCTATAATCATTATTCCATAATCTTGTAGATAATGATTGTACTTGAAAGTGGGCTGTTAATAACTAGATATATCTAGAGCACCAAGGTTTTACAATTGTTAAAGATTTGACTTAGAGTCAGACTGCATGGCTGAATCTCTGCTTCAGTCATTGCTAACTACAACCTGGGGCAAGTTAGTTGACCTACTATGCCTGTTTCCTCACTGTAAAAGGAGAATAATATCAGTACTTTCCATATAGGACTATTTTCAGGATTAAATGAGCTATTACATTTAAGAATTTAGGCTGGTGCCTGGCATTTAAGAAGTGCTCAATGAATGTTAACTAATATTAACCAAGCTTTGGTTAAATTTGAAAAAACAAACACAAAAACACAACTAACTTTGTTACCTACTGCCCCTTGCTGGCCAACCTGGGTTAGTACACTGCAGTCTATGTGGGGAAGCTAAATAAGTGCTTGGAGTAACGAAAGATTTTCAGTGTTGAGGGTAATATCAATGCTAAGCTTATGAATATTTTTGCAAAATAGCCTTGAGAAAAATCAATTGTCATGAAATTAAGTAATTAGCAAGACGTATAGGAAGAGAAATTAAATATCTGTAACAATAATTAAATAATAAGCACATTTAGATTCTTAAGAGCAGTTGAAAAGCAAGACATTTTAAATTGCAGTGCTCTGAAATAAGACCCTTGAGAATTTATAGTGCAATAGAACGTGATTCATCAAGAAAAGCAACTTGCTGCCTGAAATGACCAAGTATGTGTTTCAAGTTCTGCCTAGATGTTTGAGGGGTGGGAGGAGGTATTATCTTCCTATTCGCAGATTATATAATAATAATAATGCTATTGCTTATTGAGTTGCTCACTATATGGCAAGGGCTTTCCATATATCACTTTTTTCCTTGTTCTTTTTTTAACATGAAAATATTCAAACATAATATAATGAACATCCGTGTACATAACTCCATTTAACATTTAACACTTTCTATATTTTTTGTTCTGAATTATCTTAAAATATAGATATCAAATATTTCAACCCTATATATGCCAGTGTGCATGTCTAAAAATGGAGACATTTTTCTACTGAAGAACAATACCATTATTGCACCTAATAACAATTGCCTAATATCATCTAATACCCCAGTGAAAACTCAAATTTCTTCAGTTGCCCCTGAAATATCTTTTGTATCTGGCTTAGTAAACCAGAATCAACAGAGGACAAGCCATGCATTTGGTTATTATGTTTGTTTGTTTATTTAATTTTTTTTTTGAGATGGAGTCTTGTTCTGTTTCCAGGCTGGAGTGCAATGGCATGATCTTGGCTCACTGCAACTTCCGCCTCCCAGGTTCAAGCGATTCTTCTGCCTCAGCCTCCTGAGTAGATGACACTGCAGGCATGCACCACCAGGCCCAGCTAATTTTTGTATTTTTAGTAGAGACAGGGTTTCGCCATGTTGGCCAGGAAGGTCTCCATTTCTTGACATTGTGATCTGCCTGCCTCTGCCTCCCAAAGTGCTGGGATTACAGGCATGAACCATCATGCCCGGTCATGTTTTTAAAATTTCTTTTAATCTAGAGCAGCCATCCTTCAGTCCTGCTTTTTTTTTTTTTTTTTTTTTTTTTTAATGACACTGACTTATTGAAGAGACTGGGCCACGTGTTCAGTAGGGTGTTCCACCATTTATTCTAGGTTTTTCTGGTTGTTTCCTCTTGATGTCATTTTATTCTTCTATTCTTGCAGTTCCTGTGACAGGAAGATAGATTTCAAGGCTTAAGATATTGAGGTTAACATTTTTTGGGAACAATACTTCAAAGATGATGCTGAGCTTCATACTGCATCAGATTGGGAGACATTTAATGTCAGGCTGGGTCACTTTTATGGTGATAAGATGTATCTGGGTTAAGGTAGGAGGGGCAAGATTTCCCTGTGTTGTAAAAATGTAACCAGCAGTAGGCCGGGCGCGGTGGTTCACGCCTGTAATCCCAACACTTTGGGAGGTCGAGGCGGACAGATCACGAGGTCAGCCGATCGAGACCTTCCTGGCCAATATGGTGGAACCCCGTCTCTACTAAAAATACGAGGGTTCCTGTAGTCCCAACTACTTGGGAGGCTGAGGCTGGAGAATGGCGTGAATGCGGGAGGCGGAGCTTGCAGTGAGCCGAGATGGAGCCACTGCACTTCAGCCTTGAGACAGTAAGACTCTGTCTCAAAAAAAAAAAAAAAAAAAAAAATTGTAACCGGCAGTAATCCCTGGGAGAATAATTTGGCATCAACTGAATATCCTGTTCCTTATCACCTTTTCATCAAATGATATCATTGATGATCCTGGCATGAATCAATTATGAAATTCCATTATTCATTTATGATTACATAGTTGGCATACTTTTGTAAAGAGAACTGTTCCCTCATCAACTGGTGCTCATCTATCAACTGTATTTCGGTTAGCCCGAAATACAGCTGCTACTAGAAAGGCGAATACCTGTTTGTTTTCTTAAATTATCATTTTGCAGAGTAAAGAGTTAGTGTAATAGTCATCACCAATAGTGTGGTAAATGAAGTTAATTTTTTAAAATTTAGATTACTCTTTGGGGGCCGTGACTTTTTTATGATTAAAGTTTCCAATCACTTTTCAGTTTGCAGTCATTGTTATTTTTGATTCTCAAATTGTTCTAATTTTGGCCAGTTGGCGACTTCAGGCTGGCTCCCATGTCCTTTTAGAAGGACCTTGTTCGTCTTGAGAGTCGTCCTGACTTGTTGACACAAGTTGTCTTCATTCACTCCCAGCTTCTGACCTGGCATCAGTCATTTCTCGAAGGAGTGCTTGGTACCTTTTAGTGGGGGGTGGCATTTAGAGATTAATAGCTGGGTGTCAAGGATAGACAATGCTCCTATACCCTTCATATTAATATTTTCATTCAAAAATTAACAATATAGGTTTTTAAAATACTCAGGATGTGTGGTGAGGGGAAGGGGGAAACCAAACACAATATAGGGGTTTCTACTGTGATCCTAACTTATATTATGATCCCAATTTTTAAAAAGAGGAAACGGAGACCAGAGGTGCCCAAGGTTACTTGGCTAGTAACTGGCAGCATCGGAATTTAAGCCCAGGCATGTTACTTCCATCAGGGAAGGGAGTCCCAGGGCTCCAGCAGGCGACGGGTCTGTGGAAAGGGGTCAGGTTGATGACCAGGGCTCGGGGTGCGGGAACCAGCAGAAAGGGTTAACGGACCGTCCTGCCTGACTCCTCTAGGCCAGGAAGGCAGGACAGGGAGAGCTGCCTGGCGAGGGAGCCGTTGATGGAGTGGCTAGGGCCGCTGTTTCGCCTCAGATCTGACCAGAACTCCCTAAGGCGCAGAAAGTACCAAAGAACCACACGCGCGCAGCCTTGAGCAGAGAAACCAGTCACGCGCCGAGACCTTCAGCGGGTGCGCATCCGACCGGACCCGCCCGTGAGGAGTGCTTGCCCACCCCTCAATCACAGAATCAGAGGAAGTCTTGAGCAAGGAGGGGCGGGACATCACTGGATCCTGTCTAATGAGGAGCCAGCGCCGGGTCGCTTCGGGACAGAGTATTTCTGAGTCTCAGCGGAAGGCGGAGAGAAGGCCGTGGGGATGGCCAATCAAAGGGGGCGACTCAGGTAGGTGGGGACCGGCAGCCAATCAGGAGAGCGCTCGCTCCTGACCGGCCCACGCTTCCCGCCAGTCCCCTAACCCTGAGTCTGCGGCGCGGCTGTCATTGCGCGGGAGTAGTGGGCCGCAGTGCTGCGTGCTCTGGCCGCTCCTTGCAGCTCTGCTCCAGGCTCCGGTGCAGACGTGTAGTGGGACATGGCGAACTCGGGCTGCAAGGACGTCCCGGGTCCGGATGAGGAGAGTTTTCTGTACTTTGCCTACGGCAGCAACTTGCTGACCGAGAGGATCCACCTCCGAAACCCTTCGGCGGCGTTCTTCTGTGTGGCCCGCCTGCAGGTGAGTGTCCCCGCCTGCGCTACCCTCTCCGGGGCCGGGGGCACACGTGGCCGATCGGGACAGGCATGCAGTTCTTCCTGATGAGGGTAGTAGGACGAGGCTTCAGCCTCCTGGGCGGGTCCACCTCCTCCGCTGGGCCCACTGCCCGGCGCTGCCCCGGCCACGGTGCCCTCTCAGGCTACCCGGAGCTTTCCCCCTCCTGGCCTGTGCACCGGCTGCTCGGTCTGCACCGATTTGGCCTCTCGTCCACTAACTTAACAGTGCATTCAGTGGGTACTTCTGAGGAGCCTTCTTTGACCCGGGTCTGGGAATTGGTTGCTTTCTGCTCTGTACATACCTTTGTTACAGCACTTCTCACCTCGCATTGTAAAAATCCGTTTACCTGCCTTTCGCTCCTCCTCTGAGAGGTCCTGAAAGCTAGGACCATGTCTTATTCGTAATAGTGCTGTGCTCAGTTAGGTCAAGGGCCTGGATGAACTATAACCAGTGTTGGTAAATCATTGCTCTTCAGCCCAGTCCATTCATTCACTTAGCACATATTCTTCCAGCACTTAACACTAGTGGTATAAACATGATTGAGTAAAGTGACTGTTTTGAGGAACTCTCAGCCTGTGGGAGAGAGGTGCAACAGAGTACGTACAAAACTTTTTGATAGCATCGAATGAGACAAACATGATCTCTGCTAACCTCGTCAGAGTTCTTAGTTGCAAGCAACAGAAACTGGCTGATTTAAGCAAAAAAAAAAAAAAAAAAAAAAAAAGAATGTGTTGAAAGGCTATTGGAGAGCTCACAGAATGACCAGGAAGGCAGGAGTACAAAGCTGACAAAACGGACAGGCATAAAGGGAGGCGCAGCAACTGTAATACAGTGGGCATCACACAACAGAACCAGCCCAGGGAGCCTCTTCTGCGCCACTGCTGAACTTGGTAAGCATGGATGCTGTATTGTCTACCACCACCACCACCTGCCCTGGACACTGCCTGCCTCTGTACATCCCTGCACGTCCTGAAACCCGAGTGTGTTGGCCACTCTGGAGTCCCTGCTGTCTTGGGCACTAGCTTCTAATTGAAAGCCCCAGAATGTCTTGATTGGCTATGTTTTGGCCACACACCCATGCTATGACTTTAAGCAAAACTGAGAGAACCAACTTCTGGCCTTTGAAGCCTCAAAAATGGGAGTCAGGCTCTGGTACTCCCTATTCCCAAACTCGTAAAGTAGGGAATTTCCCAACTGTAGGAAGGGAGTCCAAATACTTACAGTCAGGGCAGGGGGAAGAGATATCAAACAAGGGATTATTCAGTTACAGGTATATGGTCCATCTTTAAGAGGAGGCATGCAAAGTGAAATGGGGTGTATGACCAGGGTACCTGACCTAACCAGGATGCTCAGGAAAGCCCTGCCTGAAAATGTGACTTTTAAGCTGGGACCTGAATGATTGCAGAGGTGGGAAGCACACAAAACAGGGGACAGCATCTTCTGCAAAGGGCCTGAAGAAAGAGGAGGCTGGATCTTTCAGTCAGTGTGGCTGGAGTTTAGTAACGGGAATGTGGCATGAAGACTGGAGAGATGTGGAAGGACCACATCTTCCAAGACCTCAGAAGGACCACATCTTCCAAGACCTCAGAAGCCAAATAAGACACACTGCAGAACTAAAGCACATGAAAGATCAGATTTCTATCTCCCAAAGCTCATTCTGGTCACATGGAAAATAGATTTGAAGGAGGGAAGAGTGGATATGGAGAGTTCAGGAAGTTTTTACAGCAATTTTTGCCAAAGATAATGAATGGCATCTTGAACTAGGGTGGTGGCAGGGCAGGGTCGATGGATTTGAGACCTAATTTGGAGATAACATTGTTAAAGCATAGTGATTGAGTGTGAAGAGAATATCAAAGATGACTCAGGTTTTTGGCAGCAGATAGGTGCAGGTGATGTTTGCAGAGAGAAGAGGAAAATCCAGTTGGGGAGGAGAAAATTGTAAGTTCAGTTTGAACGTTTTGAATTTGAAATGCTTGCTAAACAGTCAAGTGAACAGAATAATATTAGCGAACATTTATTAAGTGCTTACTGTGTACTAGGCCCTGTTCTAAGCATTTCTTCTGAAGCTCAGAAGAGAGATCTAGTCTAGGTTTAAAGATGATAGAATATTTGAAGTCATTGTAGGGGATGAGAATGTCTTGGGCAAATTGCCAAATGAATAGAGAAAATGGCCTAGATCATGGGTGTCCAAACTTTTGGCTTCCCTGGGCCACATTGGAAGAAGAAAAATTGTCTTGGGCCATAAGTAAAATACACTAAAACTAACAATAGCTGATGAGCTTAAACAAACAAACAAACAAACACAAAAGCCCATGCCTAATTTTCGTGATGTCCGCCACCACAGGTAAGCAAAAAAATTCTTGCATTCAAAGGGTTGGACACTCATGGCCTAGACTAAGCCTTGAGCAACTCCAACATTTAAAAATCAGGTAATGGAGGAGGAGTTGGCAAAGGGGATTGAGATCAAGGAATAGCCTGAAAATCAGGAAAGAGGCAGATCAGGAGAAGATGGTTACCTATGTTCTACTGAGAAGTGGAACAAGATGAGGAATGAAAATTGTTTATTGGATTTAGCAATACACAACCAGTTAGTGTGAATTGTAACTTTTATCAGGTCTCCTGGTGTCCTGCCAGAGACACGTGGTCCTAGCTGAATAAAGTTACTGGTCGCTCCAGCCAACCCTATGCCTGAGATGTCTGACACGTTTTTTGAGAAAATACAAGTGACAGGGGTAAAATATAAACCTGAAAAGGATCCTAGAAGTATCACTTAGTTTAACCTTTTAAATTTGTCTATAAGGAAACTAAGCTCTGGAAAGATGGAAAGAAATCTTCCTCGGCCAAATAAGCCGTATAAGGATTCTGTTTTTTATTTGTTTTGTTTTTATTTTTTATTTTGTTTTTTCACATAAGGATTTTTAATCTTCCCCAGGACTCTATCCCCTGCTTGCCCACCTCTGTCAGGAAAGAAGTTAAACTAGAAACCTAGTTTCATTACTTACTAGTTCCAAGACCTTAGGCAGGTTGCTTAATCTTTCTAACCCACAGTGTTTGCTGCTGTAAAATGGGTATAAGAAAGTTGTTAGCAAAATAAAAGGGAATGGTCCGTGTAATGCCAATAGCACTGAGTACAAAAGGATCCCTGCCACGGCCTCCCAAAATGTTGGGATTACAGACCTAAGTGACTGCACCTGGCCCCCAAAACACACTCTTTTATCCACACCTTTGGGCATGCTCATCCCCTGCCTAAATGTCCTTCCCATTCACAGTTAGTGTTAGCTGCTCTTATGATTACTATAGATAAATTAGTATAATTCATGAGTATTAGTGTTCATAAGTACACAAATCATTCATCCTCAAATGCCAGGTCTCTCAGGGCAAATTTGGTGATATATGTTGGTAGGATACTCTACAGACATAAAAGAAGAGAGAATATTATAACACATGTAGCCATCACCCAGCTTGTCTCTAAGTAAAAATTTATGTGTATGTAAGAAGACTGGGAAGTAATTTGCAAAAATGAAAACAGTTGTGTTAAGGCATTGGGGTTATGGCATTTTTTTTTTCCTTAAACTTTTTGTTTTTGTTAAGATGTCTGTACATATTCAGTATATGTTTCATTTTTAAAGAAAAATATAAAAAAAAAATAGTCCTTGGGATCTGGGTCCTTGTCTGTTTAACTTTATATTTTCCACAGCTTCTTAGACATAGAAGGAACTCTGTTTATTGAATGTTTTAATTGCATGGAGTTCAAGGTAAATCCTTTTTATTTTGAGGAGGGAAATTTGGGTTCAAGTGGATATTGATCATATCACTTTGATTTCCTTTGTAGGATTTTAAGCTTGACTTTGGCAATTCCCAAGGCAAAACAAGTCAAACTTGGCATGGAGGGATAGCCACCATTTTTCAAAGTCCTGGCGATGAAGTGTGGGGAGTAGTATGGAAAATGAACAAAAGCAATTTAAATTCTCTGGATGAGTAGGTGGCTTCTAATTATAAGTTAAACAATAACTAATTCAGAAAGCAGATTATATGTGAGGATGTGTATCTGTGTGTTAGTTTTTCAAAACCACATACTACAGACATATTCATTATACTTTTAGAGTCAACATAAAAGGCATGATAATGTGAGTTTGCTAAAAAGTCTAGAAGGGCTACACTTTCTGATAAAGATTTAGGGGGATGTTTGTAATCTCTTACGTAAAAGATGGAAGCCCTTATTTTTCATTCTATTGTCTTTTATAATTTTTCTTTGTAGTTTCATACTGTGAAAAGGCGTGAAGATTTCTGTAATTGTTACATATTTTTGTTGATTTTGAAAGTTACTTGAATTCAGTTTTTAAAGAACAATTTTTTAAGATGGCAGGTGAATCAGTAAATAAGTAATACTTTGTAAAAGCATTTGACAACATGTTAGAAATGCTTTGATACTTTTTATAACTAGAGCTGTCAGAGTTGTGTGGCAGAGCATTTCATACAAAGAAAAGTTGCAGAAGAGGCCTTGAGAAGAGAGGGTTATCTGACATGCTGGATACTTTACCTCACTTGTGAAGGAGAATGAGCCATCCTCTCTACCTTTTTTCTAGGTGGATATTCTCTTGCTGTCAGAACACCATCCATTTTTTGTAGCCCAAAGAACAATGTTTCAGGGGTATGAAGATGAAAAACAAACAAACAAACTACATTGAAGCCTCTTTTAGGACAAGATAAATATGGAGAGTTATGTTAGGACTATAACAAGTAATATTATGTCTCAGGCCTTCTAATTGAAATGCTAAGCTAAGCTTACTTTTTTTTTTTTTTTTTTTTTTTGAGATGGAGCTTCGCTCTTGTTGCCCAGGCTGGAGTGCAATGGCACGATCTCGTGCTCACCCCAACCTCCGCCTCCCAGGTTCAAGCGATTCTCCCACCTCAGCCTCCCGAGTGGCTGGGATTACAGGCATGTGCCACCATGCCGGGCTAATTTTGTGTGTGTGTGTGTGTGTTTTTTAGTAGAGACGGGGTTTCTCCATGTTGGTCAGACTGGCCTCGAACTCCTGACTTCAGGTGATCGCCCGCTTTGGCCTCCCAAAGTGCTGGGATTACAGGTGTGAGCCACTGCACCTGGTCTTTTTTTTTTTTTTCTTTTTGAGATGGAGTCTTGCTGTCTCCCAGCCTGGATTGCCCCAGTGTAATCTCGGCTCACTGCAACCTCCACCTCCCAGGTTCAAGTGATTCTCCAGCCTCAGCCTATTGAGTAGCTGGGATTACAGGTGTCCACCACCACACCTGGCTAATTTTCATATTTTAGTGGAGATGCCATTTCACCATGTTGGCCAGGCTGGTCTTGAACTCCTGACCTCAAGTGATCCACCTGCCTCTGGCTCCCAAAGTGCTGGGATTACAGGTGTGAGCCACCGCACCCAGCCTAAATGCAAGGCTTACTTTTAATGTGGTAAATTTATATATTTTTTATCCCAAATACATAGGGAGCAAGTATGTTCATACGTAGTTAAATGTTTAATCCCATACCCCGTCTTGACTATTATAAAAAGACCTTACCCAGTGAGCTAAATTGGCTAGGTCAAATATGGTTAAAATTTGGCTGTTCTGGTTTCAGGCAAGAAGGGGTTAAAAGTGGAATGTATGTTGTAATAGAAGTTAAAGTTGCAACTCAAGAAGGAAGAGAAATAACCTGTCGAAGTTATCTGATGACAAATTACGAAAGTGCTCCGCCATCCCCACAGTATAAAAAGGTAAGCTATTTACAGACTGGTGGTGATTACTTTTTAAATTTCACTGAGAGAAACTAAAGAATATATTGTTTTTAAAAGACTGTAGGCCTGACGTGGTGGCTCACACCTGGAATGCCACCACTTTGGGAGGCTGGGGTGGGCAGATCACCTGAGGTCAGGAGTTTGAGACCAGCCTAGCCAACGTGGTGAAACCTCGTCTCTACTAAAAATACAAAAACTAGCAGGCCGTGGTGGCGGGCACCTGTAATCCCAGCTACTTGGGAGGCTGAGGCATAAGAATAGCTTGAACCACGGAGGTGGAGGTTGCAGTGAGCTGAGATCAGGTGATAGTGAGATGCTCTCAAAAAAATTTTTAAAAAAGAAATAAAAGGCTTTGTATGTTTTAAATTCTGCATAAATATTTATTTTAATAAAAATGTCTTTAAATATAAAAATGATAGTTATTTACCTAATGTACAGATTCAAAAATATTATTATGTGTAATGATTATGTTTTTAAAACTATTTATTAAAAAAAATTTTTAGAAATGTATGTGAGTCAGAATTCTAGACATGTATTTTCTTCCTTTCTTTCTCTCTCTCTATTTCTTTCTTTTGCCTGGCAATAAATTTTTGCTTCATTTTTATGAGGTAGGCATGTATTGAAGTAGAAAAGCATATTTATGAGTGTATTTTAACAGATTTAGTATCTCTCTCATGCTCTCTCTCTCTATATATATGTGTGTGTGTATGTGTGTGTGTGTATGTGTGTGTGTGTGTGTGTGTATATATATATATATGCTTTCATAATGTTTTTCTCCCCATAACACAGTATTTTATGAATACCAATATTCATTTTTATAGGGGAAAAAACATACTTTCTACTGCTGAAATGTTTTTCATCCCTAGATGGAGAAAGAAACATCACACTGCCTTTCAGAATCAGGGAAATCACCCTTGCAAGCACAAGACAAGAATGTGGGATAGAGACCCCAACATTCCTGTTCAGAACCCAAGCTTAGCTGTCTGTTGGCAGGCCCAATCAGGTCATGGCACCTGTAATAGGTAATCTGGTTCCTAGGCCTCGTCTGGAATTTTCTAGTATGGAACCTAGAGAAATTAACCTGGTATAGATCTTGAAAGTATCGCTGAACACAGTTGCCATTTATTCCCCCATGTCTAATTCAGAGCAAGGGTAAACTCTGGCATTATAACCAAAACTGCTCTCTGTAAACTTTAAATTTTTTTTGAAGAATGGTATTTTTTTTTTTCTTAAAAGGCCATACAAATTCTATATAGATATTTTTGTCTTATTATTAAAATATTTAAAATCACATATTGAGAAAGTTGATATTCCATGAGGATCCTTCATTTGGCTTTGAAAACTCCATACGCATTCATGCTCAGCGTGAGAGGAATGATGGTATTCTATTTGTTATGTAACTGTTTATCCTAGAGTTATCTGAAAGCTAGTATTTCATACCTTGAGAAGGCAAATAAAACTGTGGTATGGTACATTATATTATATTCCTAACTAAAGGGTTTTTTTGTTTGTTTGTTTGTTTGTTTTAACCATTTCCAGATTATTTGCATGGGTGCAAAAGAAAATGGTTTGCCGCTGGAGTATCAAGAGAAGTTAAAAGCAATAGAACCAAATGACTATACAGGAAAGGTCGCAGAAGAAATAGAGGACATCATCAAAAAGGGGGAAACACAAACTCTTTAGAACATAACAGAATATATCTAAGGGTATTCTATGTGCTAATATAAAATATTTTTAACACTTGAGAACAGGGATCTGGGGGATCTCCATGTTTGATCCATTTGCGGCAGTGCGCTGAAGGAGTATCTTACTTGGGTGATTCCTTGTTTTCAGACTATAAAAAGAAACTGGGATAGGAGTTAGACAATTTAAAAGGGGCGTATGAGGGCCTGAAATGTGTGACAAGTGAATGTGAGTACCCCTTCTGTAAACACTGAAAGCTATTCTCTTGAATTGATATTAAGTGTTTCCTTGCTCTGGTAAAAGATAGATTTGTCGCTTGATGATGGTGCTGGTGAATTGCTCTGCTCTGTCTGAGATTTTAAAAAATCAGCTTAATGAGAGTAATCTGCAGAGAATTGATAATAACATTTTGAAAATTGGAAAGATGGTATACTGTTTTTAGAGGAATAAACGTATTTGTGGTTTAACCTGTTGTCTCTACTAAAGTACTTCATTTCATTATGTTGTTAAATCATCACACATGCTGGGTCTGGTCTTGGCCATGCAGCATCTGTAGTAGAGTAGTATTGTACAGACTCTGGAGCCAAATAGCCAAGGATCAATTGTCTGTGCCACCATTTATTCTCTGTGTCTCAGTTTCTTCACATATAAAGTGAGGATAACCAAAACGTCTACATCTTAGGATTATTTTGAGGATTAAATGAGTGTGTGTGTGTATGTATATATATATATATATATATATGAAATCTTAGGATAGAAAGTGGCATATGGTAAGTATTAGCAATTCTTATTTTATTGAAGAATTAAATTTGTCCAGGGCCATCTTTGGAAAATGATTTTAAAGTAGGAAAGTCAGTACTATGAAGAAAAAAATGTGGGGCGGCAGAGGCACTTGGATTCTTGGCTTTTCAAGAAATAGTGACCTTAAATTTATGTACTGAATAAGTGAAGAAAAGAAGAGTCATGCATATTAGTTATCAAAAATTCTCCGTGTCTCTGTGGAATGCAGTGAGCTGTGCCTTCTGAGCTGGAATGAGGCTGAACTAGTTGCAGGAGTATAAAATAAAAATGTGTTCTCTTATGAAAATGTAAAAGGAATTTTCAGGCTACAGCTGCAATTCTGCAGTGAGGCTGTCATAGACTAGAGGTTAGACCATATTTCACAGCTATCACAGTTCACTATTTCCCATATATCCTCTCCCATATTCTAGTTTTCTCCTTGTTCTTAATTCCTCCCAAGAAAACCAAGTTTGTCAGTGAGCAAGAACCCACTTACAAGGCTTATAGTAGTATCGTGAACAAAGCTCAGTTTTGCTGTAGATACTAAGAATTGAATATTATTCTAATAATCTCTCACATAAATGACAACTTTGGTGAAAGAATTCAAAATGCTAACAATAAAAACCTTCATGTCTGCCTTTTAAGAAAAATCTGGGGCTGGGCACGGTGGCTTACACCTATAATCCAGCACTCTGGGAGGCAGACGTGGGAGGATCACTTGAGGATAGGAGCTCAAGACCAGCCTGGGCAACACAGCAAAAACTCGTCTCTACAAAAAAGTTAAAAAATTAGGTATAGTGGCACATACTTGTAGTCCCAGCTACTCAGGAGGCTAAGTTGGGAGGATCACTTGAGCCTAGGTGTTCGAGGCTGCAGCGAGCTATGATTGTGCCACTGGATCCCAGCTTGGGCAACAGAGCAAGACCCTGTCTAAAAAAAAAGATGAAGAAAGAAAAGCCTAATAATCATGAGAAATACTGTTTTTTAAAATTGTTTTCAAGGTAATATTTAAAATGCAAATGTTATATGTAGGAGGTTTCCCTTTCTACCAGTCATTTTGGCCCTCTAAACACAATACTCAGAGATTCTGTATAAACTATAACAAATAGTTTTTGAAAACCACATCTGGACTTGCAAGGAAATAAGGAAAATCTTCAGGGTGTACCAATTCCTCCTCCACAAAAAGAAGAAAGATGAACTGGGAGCTGAAAGGACAAAGTACTGGTAAACAAATGATCCTGATGTTCTTGGGCACAAATGCCAATAATAGCTCTGGATTTGAACTACTAACCCTGGAGCACCCTTGCTGCAGGACAGGAAAACTGAACCTGAAGACTCTGTATGAAGCCAGGACCCTTAAAGAGAACTAAAATGGTCCCCAGTTGGTAGCCCCAGCAGCTCCCGGCAGAAACAGAAGCAAATCCTCTCTGGAGAAAGCTTAAATTTAGGTTCTCAGGACTGCCCTTAAAAATGTAAAAGATAATCAGGAAAACGATACATCATGAATGAGAGCAGAAAAATACTGATTTGTTAAGAAAAAACACATTTAGATCCCCAAGGTTTTAAGATACTGAAATGATCAACTGGGCACGGTGGCACACGCCTGTAATCCCAGCACTTTGGGAGGCCGAGGCGGGCAGATCATGAGGTCAGGAGATTGAGACCATCCTGGCTAACACGGTGAAACCCCATCTCTACTAAAAAAAAAAAAAAAAAAAAAAAAAAAAAAATTAGCCGGGTGTGATGGTGGGCGCCTGTAGTCCCAGCTACTAGGGAGGCTGAGGCAGGAGAATGGTGTGAACCCAGGAGCTGGAGCTTTCAGTGAGCCGAGTCCGTGCCACAGCACTCCAGCCTGGGCAACAGGGCAAGCCTCCGTCTCAGGAAAAAAAAAAAAAAAAGATATTGAAACTATTTAAAACAATGAAGTAAGTATGTATGGAGACTGGCTTCTGTGAAGATGGAATAGGTATGATTTTCCCTATTCCTCTAGTTAAGAGCAACTAAAATCCTTGAACATTATATATAAAACAAACAGAAGACGACTCTGAAAGGTGGAGAGAGGACAGACTATTCAGGGATCTCAGGACCCAAGGCACAACATGATGCTGAATTCTGTTTTCTTTTGCTTCATATATCTCGTACTTGCAACTTAAGAAATCAGCAACTTGAAAGCACCAATGAGCACAGACACACACACACCCCAAAAGAAAAGCCTGCTCTTGTCAAAGAACCAGGAAAAGGACAACCTAGTATGACAAAGATTTTAGAGAATAATCAGTCTATTCCAGTTATACCACAGAAAAAATTGTGGATGCCAGTCTCCACTCATGCCAGCAAAGGTCAAGAGGAGAGCCTAGACTTCCACACTTGCCAGGCTATAATGAAGAACCCTAACCTCACCACCACCAGGTAGGGTCAGAAAAAGCTAAGTAGGGAGACTTCTGGCAATAACAAGACTCCCTCCCTCAAGATGTTGGTGGAAACCATGTGGGGAGCCTAGGCTTATACCACCATCTGGCAGTAATAGTGTCCCTGGCCCTTCCTGCTGGGTTGGGATCAAAGTTCAAGTAAACAGTCAGGACTTTCACTACCTCTCAGTGGTAACTAAGCCACTTTTTTTGTGGTGTTGGTGGAGGTCACATGGGAAGCAGTAACAAAGCATTCCCACTCCCAGCCAAGAAGGTATCATTAGAGAACTAGTGGGCAATTGAAAGTTCTACCCCTCCCACCCCTACTGTTACTTCTAAGTAACAAGGTGCATTCCACCCACCCTGCCCACTTTGGTGACAACAGAAACTGAGTGGGAAACCTGAACTTCTACCCACACCTGGCAGTATTGAAGCAGTGCCCCCTCACTTTCTCCTGCTGAAGTGGTTTCAGAGTAAGCCAGCTAAAATAGTAAATTTAAATAAGATGTAGAATCTCATAACAATCTCCAAAATGCCCAGGTTTCTATTGAAAAATCACTCATTTCAACAACCAGAAAGGTCTCAAATTAAATGAAAAAAGACAATCAGTAGATGCCAAAACTGAGACAACATTAGAATTATCTGACAAAGATTTTAAAGCAGCCATCATAAAAATATTTCAGTGAGCAATGAGGAACATGCTTGAAACAAATGAAAATATAGAAAGTCTTGGCAAAGAAATAGAAGACATAAAGAAGAACCAAATGGAAATTTTAGAACTGAAAAAATATAATAACTGAAACTATAGACTCAACAGATGGGCTCAACAACAGAATGGAGGGGGCAGAGGGAAGAATCAGGGAACTGGGAAGATAGAGCAACAGAAATTATCCAATTTGAACAATAGACATAAAATATACTTGAGGGAAAATAAAACCATGACAGCCTCAGGGACCTGTGGTACTACAGTAGAAGATCTAATGCTTGTGTTATGGGAGCCTCACCAGAAGAGAAAGGGCAGGCTGAGAAAGTACCCAAATAAATAATGACTAAAATGTCTCTCAAGTTTGGCAAAAGACATAAACCTACAGATTCAAGAAATGGAGTGAACCCCTAACATAAAGAAATTCACACCAAGTCACATCATAGTTAAACTTCTGAAAACTAAAGACAGAAAAATTCTTAAGAACAGCAAGAAATGACACCTTACCTATAGGAAAAAAAACTATTCGAATGACACCAGATTTCTCATCACAAACTGTGATAGCCCAAAGGAAGTGGCACATTTTTCAAGTGCTGAAAGAAAAGAACCATCAACTAAGAATCCAGTAAAAATAGCCTTTGAGAATGAAGGAGAAATCAAGACATTCTCAGAAGAGGGAAAACTAATAAAATTTGTTGCCAGAAACTTTCCCTAAAAGAATGGCTGAAGGCTGTTCTCTAAACAGAGAGAAAATAATAAATGCAGGAACATTGGAACATCAGAGAGGAAAAAATGATCATTGTGAGCAAAAATATGGGGAAATACAATAGACTTTACTTCTCTTGAGTTTCTTTAAATATGTTTGATTGTTGAAGGAGAAATAACACTAATGGTTCTAAATATATGTAGAGGTAATATTTTAAATGATTATAAAAGGGGAGAGCTCAGGGAAATAAGTTTTCTGCATTTTATTTGAACTGGTAAAACGATGATACCAGTAGACTGAAAAATTATGTATATATACTACCTAGAACAAACACTAAAAAGTATACAAATAGATATACTCAAAAACACAACAAATAAATAAAAATGGAATTTCAAAACAATGTTCAAGTAACCCACAGGAAGGCAGGGATAAGAAAAGAGAGAAATTAAAAACAGAACAAACAGAACATATAACATGAAATGGTGGGCTTAAACCCTAACATATTAATAATTACATTAAATGTAAATGGTTTAAATACACAAGGTAAAAGACAGACATTGGCAGAGTGGACTAAAAATCATGACCCAAATTTATGCTGTCCACAGGAAACTTACTTCAACTATAATAATATAAGCAATTTGGAAGTAAAAATGATGGAAAAAAAATATACAATGCAAACATTAACCAAAGGAAAAAACAAGTGGCTATACTAACATCAGATAAAGTAAATTTTAGAGCAAAGAAAATCACCAGCGACAGGGAAGGATATATGGTAACCCCTACCAATTCATTTAATGAAACTTGCATTATCCTGATACCAAAATCAGAGATAATACAAACACAAGTAAACAAAAATAAGCCAATGGATCA